GCATGAACCAACTGGATCATGGCTGAACAGTATAAACAGATTAATGTCCATGAATTGATAAATAATCAAATGAACTGATTGGTAACAATAATCATGAACTGATTAGTGATAATAGAACCAGAACACAGACACGACTGTGACTGATAACAACATCTCACACTGTAATGCGTGCAGACAGAAGTGAGCTTAAACAGAGTTCCATGAGAACAACAATATTCATTCTGTTAGAGCACTAAGGACAGAATGTGTCATGGAACGAACCGTTACATCACGTAGGTAAAAGCGAATAAATGAGCAGGGTGTTGACCATGCCGCCGCAGTGCAAATGTCCTGCATTGACATACCATTATGCAGAACAATCGAAGATGCAATACCCCTGGTGGAGTGTGCTTAGAGGTTGACAGGAGGCCCTAAAACTGATGCTCTGTAGGCTTCAGAAAAGGCCTCACACAGCCAGTGTGACAAGCGCTGGATGGATAACGGCGACCTGCAGAAGCATCTCTATAATGCACAAACAATTGTTGAATTTGAACGCATTGCAGCTGTGCGCGTTACGTAACACGTCAACGCCTGCACCGGGCAGAGAAGATGAACAGATGCTTCCCCTTCTGATCTGTGGGAGGGAAAAAACCCCTCCAACGATATCACTCTTGATTTAAAAGAGCTCGTGATGTTTTAGGCATAAAAGCTGGGTTGGTCTTAAATCAGCTGAGCTGCCCGTTAGCCTAATTCTAAGGCATGACGAAGCAACAGAGAGGGCAGATAATTACTTATCCTCTTAGCGGGTGTTAAAACCAGCAACAGGGCTGTTAAAAGAGACAAGAATTTAAATGAAACCTGATCCAGAGGCTCAATTGAAGCTTTGATCAGGGCTCGCAGGACCAGCGTTAAACCCACTGTGGAAACAAGTGGGCGTGAGAACAGGCCTACATCTCTGTACACCTTTTAGAAACCGCTTCATCAGCGGGTGATAAAAGCTGTTCTGTCTCCAAACCCTTTGTGGCAGGAAGAGATGGCTGCAATCGTACGTTAAAGCGTACTGAAAACCAACTCCCTATCCATCAGCTGTTGTAGAAAAAACAACACGCCGCTTAAAAGGCATGAGGTGGTCTCTAAACCTTCTCTGTGCACCAGCGCTGAAAAGCCGTCCCCTTGATGTGTACAGAACTGTGGTAGATGCAGCACGTGAATCTTGAATTGTGCACACTATCTCCTGAGGGAGACCCATCCTCTAAGTGGAACCGCTCAGCGGTCAGACCCACCGGTGTTGACCTATTTCTGGGTAACTCTTGGTCGCTCCTCCTGCCTGAAGGAGAGCATCCTTCCTCCATGACAGTTCTACGGCGAGCTGTCAATCCCTCCTCTTGAACTCGGTTCATGGACCGTAAAAAACAGAGGAGGTGGGGGGGGAAAGAAACGCGTAAAAAGCGTTTTGGGCCACCGACTGTGAGCAAATGCGTCCCCCCCCAGCGATGGATCGTCTCGCGAGCTCAGGGAAAACCGTAGTTGACATTGAGCGTTCTTCTCGCATCGCAAACAGGTCCACAGCTGCTTTGCCAACTTCTGCTGCGTCTGAAAACATCAGATCCGGATGGAGGATCCGGTCCACGTAACGTGGGCCGCCCTTGGACGTCACATCAGAACACCGGATATGTAAACCGCTCTAATAAAAGCAGGCTTTGATGAACCCAACTCAGTAGCTTTCGCACAATGTGTAACATCTGGCTGAACGCACACCCTGATGGTTATGTACGCAGCAGTCATCATGATGTCTGTGTGAATCAACACGTGTTGATTCTGTAGCACAGGAGCAAGGTGTTGAATCACATTCAGTACTGTGCGACACTCCAAAACATTGATGTGTGCTGATGTGTAGTGGGGCCACAGCGCCCCTACTGCTTGAGATAGGTATGTCCCCCCCCCAGCCTGACAGCAACGTGTCCGTGAAGACTGACCCATGACGTGGGTCTGCTGAGGGGGACTCCCTCTGATAGAAAAACAAGGTGTTTCCCCAGAGTCGGAGGTCTGCTTCCACAGAGGGAAAAGACAATGATCATCCGTCGTTTGTTTTACTGGATCCACATGCAGACGTGCAAAAACACCTCTAGAGGCGTCTCATGTGATAAATGAGTTTTCATGGTGGTTGAATTTAATTCCACTCCAGAAAACAAATGTCTGGGCCGGGAAAATCGAGCTTCCTTCCACTTATGGCGAAGCCCAGATTAACAGGTGTGATGTCAACACCTGATCCTGCATCAGCGCCTCCTGTCTGAAGTGACAGGATCCGCAGATCATCCAGGTAAAACAAAAAACTCTCGTCTCTGTGTTTTAGGATGATCGGTATGCGTTCTCTGGATGTTAAACAACAGATCCAAAAACGGTCTCACCCCTCCGATCCGTGAGTAAAAACCCTCGTGTTTTCTCTCCCTTGGGGAACTCTGTAGATTACTTTTATCAGAAAACGCTTGGATTTCTGCATTTAGGGAAGAGAATCAGTCTGATGATGATGACGGGACCGTTTATATAACTCCTCTGAATGAAGGGGTTCGGGTTGCAAACTGTAACTTGTACCATTTGCATAAACCCTGTCCATCCATATGAAAAACGGCGAGCATGTTTAGCCACTCTACGTAACGTTCGTGGATGAACGTGCGTTAATGATGCGTCATGTTTTGTACGGCTGTCAGCAGTCCGTCCCTCAACCGCCGTCATGCGTCGCGGGAATGTTTTCTGTGTGACCCCGGGCGAGACTTGAGCTGAAGGCGAAGCGTGTGACAGCTGATGACGCGGTGAGCTGCGCGTTTGACGTCGCTGTGCGAACGTTGAAAGGCGGAGGGCGTGACTTCATTTACACCGTGCTGTTGGAGTGAAGGCTGCTTAGCCCCGCGGGAGCACACGTTGTTCTCTGGAGGGACGCGCGCCGCTCTCGCTGGAGGGGCGCGCGCTAGAGGGAGGTGGGACTCATTACCGGATTCTTCGGCTGCTTCACGTTTAAGCTGCGGTGAGCTGCCGAAAGCTGAGAGAGAAGGACCCCCACCCGGACCAGCCTGCGGACCACATTTATACCGATGTGAGCTGGTTAGCGCCGGCAGCTGTGTGCGCCAGCATCAACGCAGCACCGTTGAATGGAGGCTGTCATCTTAGTGTTCGACTCGTCATGTCAAGAGCGGCGGTGAATTAAAAACCTTATTTAAGGACACCGGCTCATGTCGAGGCTGTTCCATCCCACAAATGCGAGTTGACACCGCTTGAGTGAGGATCATGCAGTTCTAGTTGGTAGTTATTTTCGCTTACCGTTGTGCCGTGATCGACCCGTCATGTCTAGAGCGACGGTGAGTTTAAAAAACCTTTATTTAAGGACACCGGCTCATGTGGAGGCTGTTCTGTTATCGACTCATCATGTCTAGAGCGACGGTGAGTTAAAAACCTTTATTTAAGGACACCGGCTCATGTGGAGGCTGTTCTGTGATCGACTCGTCATGTCTTAGAGCGACGGTGAGTTAAAAACCTTTATTTAAGGACACCGGCTCGTGTGTGGGGCTGTTTCATCCCACGAGTGCGCTCTTATGTGTGCGGCCGCTGTGAGCTGATCCGGGCTTACAGACTGGCTAAAAAACAGACACTTTGATCATTAATGATGATTTATTTCAACTTTCGTGTCACTTTTACACACACCCTCCGGAGACCGTCATTTGAGAGCTTTCTCTCTCATGAGCTCTGCGATTGTTTGCCCAGAGCGCTGTCTTGCAGGCGAACTCTGGGGAAACGCTGAGCTGCAGGCTGCCGGAGTGCAGAGGGCTGGATTCTGACGGGCGGGGCTGGTGGTGGAACTCAGCGAGAGCCGCGGCCGTGGAAAAGTCGAAAACTTGCTCACGACGGTCCCTCCAGCGGGGACGGGGTGGGCCGCGCGGCTTGATGAGGTGGCGAACAGCTTTTGGCACCTCCTCCGACTGTTTCACTTCGCCAGCATGGTTTGAAGCTGCTCTGAACAGCGCGTCCGCGATGGGCTTCATCAGGTCTTGTGCAGATTCTCCGGCAGCGAGGGGAGTAACGAAGCCAGGTGGATCGTTGGGTCATCGTCCTCCGCGCTGCAGTCCCCGACAATGCAAAACGTGGGAGAGGCACACATGTTTGAGCTGGCGTCAGCTGCTTTACAGAGGGAGATCTTCGTCTCCAAGGCAGGTCTGCGGCCTTCAATCCCTTGGACATGCTAATGCTAGCAGCGCAAGTTGTTGCTAACTGCGGCTGCCTGAAAACACGTCGGTGGGCTCGATTGGAGAGCGTGGTCGCCGTCTGGTTCCTCCGGAGGGACGGGACGCTGCTCCGACCTGGGCAGCTTCGCTCCGGAAGCTTCCGCGAGGCTTGGCTCCAGGGGGGGGTACCGAGGAATAGCCCCGCTCGGTGAGTCCCTCAACTCTGGTGATGGGAGCGGACTGGGGACCGACTCCTCTAATCTACCAGGAAAGAACCGTCTGCGGCCTCGCCCGTGGAACGTCCTGTTGGAACGCGAGGCCGTATGGATCAAGACGGTGAGCCAGAGTGGAGCCCAGTGAAAAATAACCTTTCCGCCGATCATCCGAACTGGCGGGAAAAGGCGAGGGACGTAGAAAAAAGGGGTCCCTTCATGTCAGCCTCCTCCTGGGTTCCGCCGGGCAACCCCTGAGGGCGCCGTCGGCCGGGAGCGGTGTGATCGCCGATGCGAAACGGGGTGGGATGGGGTGAGCATTCACTCAGCCCCCCCCCACCTACACTACGCTCCCCAGGAGGGAAAGAGCAGCGGGGCTGCAGCTGAGCACGCCTTGCCCCGGAGGAACCATCCGGTTCGCCCCGAGGGTCGGCGATAAGAGGAAAAACACAAGATGGCGTTGTCCAGCGTGTAGTGACCTGTCACTGGGAAATGTTCCACGACGCTTACCTTGGAATAAGACTGCTGTCATCTTCTCCTCGGGGAGGAGAACTCACCGGACGACCGGAGGTCGACTGCCGGGCCAAGCATCTTTCGCAAGGTTGGTCATTTACACAATTTATCTTCTTTATTCTTCTGACAGTGCTATATTAGCTCGCTGAAGAAAAAATGGGAGCCGATTTCCCGCTCTTAACGTAATTTATACGGACCGGGTGGGGCCCACACAGCAGGTGGGCGTGGACTAATTTTTTTCAGTGCTTATGCTCTGCATAACGGGATAAACCCACTAAAGCGAAGGCCTTAAAGGGCGAAGCTTATATGACATAGAACTCCCCACTTTCATGGACAGTGGATCCAAGTACTTGAAGTCCTGCACCTTGGTGATATCTGGTCCTTGTAGTCTCACTGTTCCACCTGTCTCCCTCCCTTTACAAACATGTACTGGTCTTCATCTTCACTTTTTTTTTTCTCTCAGCACCTGTCAACATCCTTCACTACCTTAGAGCACTTACCTTTCAAACTCAATTTAAGCACAGACCAACTAACTGGATGCATCTATACTTTAAGCAGTAATAGTAGCTAAACTGCTGTGAATCTGATGCAACAAGGCCCGTTCTACGGACATCTAGCGCTCCGTCAGCCTAAAACTAAACCTAGAAGATAGAACTAACTTACATGGAAATTTAAAAAATGGCTACAAAGTTGATATGGCGTGTTTCCCATCATAAAAAGAAGCACTTCAGCCCTGAGAGCGGTAAAGAAGGACATAAATGGTTGTCTCACCTCGTAACACCGACACACGGAGGCTGCCATCTTGATCTTGAAATGAAGCACGTGCATCCTGGTACGCCCTCTCGGTGACCGCAGACGTCGCGTTTGACCAATGAGAGCACAGAAAGTCAAATAGGGCGGAGCCAAACGCCGGCTCATTAAAGGGAAAGTACACTCTAAAAATATAAATCAAGTCAAGGTTCTTTATTGTCATTCGCGTCACATGTGGTGCATGAGGTGGAACGAAATTGTGTACTCATGGTCCCAATTACATCAAACAATAGCAAAAATTTAAAGTGTAAAAAGCAACAGTAAATAAAGATCTAAGATATATACGCTAAACAAATGCCCAGCGGTGCAATATATGCCAGTGACTAATAGTGCAAAACAATACACCGAAAAAGAGCCGCACGATTCTCATTCTCATAAGTTCGGTTCGTTCACACACATAATGCAAGTGGAGTCGGGCTCGGAGCAGACCCCATAACTACCATAAACTGGGATTTCACCGGGAGCCTGTGAAGCTGCAGCTCGGCTGAGTGCAGCCATACCAAAGCATGCAACAAAAGTACAAAAACAAGGCACCAAAAGTGAAAAAGAAATAAATCTACAGCAGCATGGTCCTAGATTTATTTCTTTTTCATTTTCCTGTCCTTTCTTTTCTTAATATTATTGTCCACAACTGTTATTTCCTAAAAAGGATCAAATAAACCAGTTAATGTGAATTTTTTTAAAGCCTTGGCTAGAAAAATGTAACCAAATCGGCATCTTAATGAGTTTAATTTAAACAGATTGTAATTTAAAAAGGCTTCATTCATTTTATACAACACCCTAATTCAAAACAATTCTGATGTTGTTTATATAAATAGTGGTTTGCAAATCTCATAAGTCTGTTATAGAAAACATTAAATGTTTAAAAGAACAAATTTTACCTTTTTTTAAGTTAGTTTTTTTATTCGGTGGCAGCAACACAGTTAGCAAAAGTTGGGACTGAGCAATAAAAGGCTGTAAAAGTTAGTGGTATAAGAAACACCTGGAAGACAATTTCACAATAAATTAGGTTAACTGGCAACAGTTAACCCAGTCCTCTTACCAGTCCCCAGTAAGAGGACAGAATAGTAAAGAGCATTTTAGAATTAGAAGTAAAAATGAGCAGAGGTTCAAAAGTCTACAAAAAAAAACGCATCTTAAAAAATCGAAGGATTTTAGAATAATGTTATTCAATGGAAAACTTGGAAGACTGAATATCCCATCAACAGCAGTTGGTAATATTATTAAAACATTTCAGGAAGCAGGAGAAAAGTCAAAATTGATTACCTGTAATCTGTAAGCCTTTAGGTGGTATTGTTGTAAAAACAGGTCTGGTTCTGGACATCACTGCATGGGCTCAGGAACACCACTAATCATCGTTTGTAAGCACAGTTTGCCATGCCATCCACTAATACTGGTTAAAACACGTCCTCTACTAAAAAGGGTAGTGGTCATTTGTCCTGCTATCAGTACACAATTCAAAAGTCTGCCTCTCTGATGGTATGGGGTTGCATTTCATTGTGAATAAATAAGGTTTTCCAAATCACTGCACTCGGTTTAAATTAAAATTTTACACAAAGTCTCAGCTTGATCAGAAATGGGGTGGTACATTTGCAAAAAAAAAACAAATTAGCATTAAACTTTCTATTCAGTTTTCAAAGCAAAGATGTTTGTTTTTGTCTTTATAAATGTATAAGTCAGTTCTCTTATATACTTATTCACAAATGTATTAATTTTTTATGGCATGTTTTTATGTTTGTTGCACTCCTGACTAGCAATAATAATAATAATAGTAATAATAATAATAATTTTATCTACAAGAACATTTGTTATGAATTTAGCATTTACTGAGTACCCTTCCCATACAACTTTTCTACTTTTCTTCAGTCACAACAACCTCTTTTTTGATTCAAATGATTTACAGCCATAGTTGTTTTATTTAACTTTATTAAGTAACCTAGTTGTGGGTTACATTGTTGCTTTATTTATATATGTTCTCTGGGGCACAATTGAGTTATTCTCTTTCTCTGCCAAACAAAGTCTCCTTGTTTTCCTTCTGTTTTCAGAGTCATGGCTGGGGTGTGTTTGTAATTACATATGCTGGAAGTGTAGAGCAACAGAATAAAGTAATAAGGTGTGAATATTTTTTACCATCCAATAAGAAACTGTTAATTTAATGCAGTCGTTTCTTTTAAATACATTTCCCGTCATACCTTACTGTCTCTGACCCCGCCCATGTCTGAGCGGGCAGCGGATGATTGGCAGCTCTGCGCTGCCGGCATACCGGCGCACAGCGCCCCCGTGCGGCAGCTATGTGAAGCGCAGGGACTCCTCCCCTCCCTCTGCAGAGTTTGGGAGCTCCTTTCTGCCGACCAGCTCGTCTTCTTTGACAGCCGACACACTGGCGCAGAGTCGGACAAACCTTTAACCTTTGTAGTTTTCTGCCATAAAGCGAGAATATCAAAGCGACCCTTTCTTCTCATCCTTTTCCGGAAGAAAAAGCGCTGGAGCGGCCTCGTCTAGAATGGGGAACCGAGACGACGAATACGATTTCTTGTTCAAAGGTAAATTATATAAATATATGTATATAAATAAATAAATGAGGCGAGGGAGACGGATGCCTGCGTTCCCTGTCCTATAGAGAAAGCTTTGTTTTCAGATGAATCTGTGAGCGTGTGTCTGAGCAGCTGTGCGTGTTTTTAAAGGAAACAGGGTGTTTTCCTCTCGAGCCTCCCCGGATGATAGTCTCTCCTTATCACAACACAATGCTGGAACAGCCTGCAGCTCGATTTATAGGTTCTAACAAATCCGTGCTCAGCCCTTCATTAAACTTTTATGAACTCATAAAGCAAATCTGATGGTTGGAGGAGACGCATTTCTCCTTCATTTCATGTTTTGTCCTCTCCTCGTGGAGACTGATCAAAGGCCTTGATGAGCCTGATCAATAAGATTCATCATCACACCCAGAACTTCATCTGGTTTTGTGTTTCTGACGATCAGTAGATCTGAGAAGAACCTGGATCCATGTCTGGGTCCAGAATGGCTCCTTTGATCTTGCTGTCAGCTCCTGTGGCACATTAACATCCCGGGCTTGGAGCAGCCAAAAAGGCCATTTAGATGCAACAAAGTCTCCTCTGTGGGATGAATGGAGCATCTGCCGGAGGCGAGGGACCTCTGCCTCTCTACCTCCACCCCACTCCATCCATCCTTCCATCCCTCTCTGGTTTCTGCTCGACCCAAACAGGAAGGTCCTGAAACTGTCGATTCAGGTTCTGATGAGGAGTTATCAGCTTCCTGCAGCCCGGACCAGACGGTGCTGAGAGGCAGGACAAAGTTCGGCTCGGTTTCCTTTAGCAGAGAAAGAAAGGAAAACAGAAAGGCTCCACCTCTCTCACTTTAGCCCAAAGACTCCTTCAGCTTCAAACAATGGACCTGCTTCTTCTAATGATCAGAACCAACCCAACTAACTTTGGACTAACATGTCACACGCTGCTTCATTATATTCTCCGTAGTTTTTCTGTGTACCTTGAAACTCGAGATAAATGTGGATTTCTGACTAGATTTAACATCAAACTTAAAAAAAACACATTTTCTGTCACATTACAAAGTGACTGGTGGAATTTGTTGTTAAAGCTTAAAGTGAGTAGTCAAAGTTAAAAGAAGCAGAACAATAGCCAAAAGATAAAAGAAGCAGAACTTTAGCTAAAAGTTAAAAGAAGCAGAACACTAGTCTACAACTAAAATAAACAGAACAATAGCTAAAAGTTAAAAGAAGCAGAACACTAGTCTAAAAGAAGCAGAACAGTAGCCTATGGCTAAAAGAAGCAGAACTTTAGCTAAAAGTTAAAAGAAGCAGAACAGTAGCCTATGGCTAAAAGAAGCCAAACAATTGCTAAAAGTTAAAAGAAGCAGAACACTAGCCTACAACTAAAATAAACAGAACAATAGCTAAAAGTTAAAAGAAGCAGAACTTTAGCTAAAAGTTAAAAGAAGCAGAACAGTAGAAGTTAAAAGCAGAACTTTAGCTAAAAGTTAAAAGAAGCAGAACAGTAGTTAGAAGTTAAAAGAAGCAGAACAGTAGCCTATGGCTAAAAGAAGCCGAACAATTGCTAAAAGTTCAAAGAAGCAGAACACTAGTCTAAAAGAAGCAGAAGTAGCCTATGGCTAAAAGAAGCAGAACTTTAGCTAAAAGTTTAAATAAGCAGAACACTAGGCTACAGCTAAAAGAAGCAGAACAATAGCTAAAAGTAAAAAAAGCAAAACACTAGCCTATGGCTAAAAGAAGCAGAACTTTAGCTAAAAGTTTAAAGAAGCAGAACAGTAGTTAGAAGTTAAAAGAAGCAGAATACTAGCCTTCAGCTAAAAGAAGCAGAACTTTAGCTAAAAGTTAAAATAAGCAGAACAGTAGCCTACAGCTAAAAGAAGCAGATCATTAACTATAAGTTAAAAAAGCAAAACACTAACTTACTGCTAAAAGAAGCAG